GCATGCAGACCATGGTCCTGCAGCCTGTGCAGTCCCCGCAAGCGATGCCCTCTCTCCCCCAGCTCCCACGGGATGGCTGGGACAGTGGGGTCTGCTGCTGACGGGACTTGAGGGCATCTCTCTGGGGTCTCTTTTGGAGAACAGGACAGAGGGCAAGAGCAACAAAGGTTTTCTCCAAGCTCAATTTGTATTTAGGCACTCAACTCCCCACGCTCCTCAGTGGGAATCTGAGAGCCTTAGATGACTAAATAGTTTGGTGCGTAGCCTGCGATCTCCAGGTTGATCTGAGCTACCAAAAACCTCTCCCATGCCCCCTCCTCGCTCCCAGAGCCCAGGAGATGGTATGGCAAAATCCAACTTGCACCTTTTAGGGCAGGCTGTACGGTGTGGGGACCGGCTGGGTTCGGGTGAGGGCTTCTTAGCGTGTGACCTGCAAAGCCGTGGGGTGGGGGCAGGATGGCTCTCCCACCTGCACAAGCCAACATCGGTGATGGCTCCGTCGCCCGTCCCCTTACCCAGCACGTCAGTGGTGTTGATCTGCAGTATCAGCCAGCTGTGGCCGTTCTCTTTGTACGAGCCGAAGATGGTGAATATGGTGCTTTTCTCCCTGGGCTCGGTCAGCAGGCCGTACACAAACACCGGCTTCTCCGAGAAAGTGAATGTTTTCCAGGTTTCCCCTTCATTTGTGCTGTACCTGGAGAAAGCGGACTGGGAGAGCTGCCAGCGGAGGGTGCAGCCCACTGCAGGGCACTCCTCCCAGCCCAAGCACCAGAGGCAATCCCCCTGCCCAGCCACTTACTTGAGCTGGTCGGTCTCGGTGCCTTGTGCGATGGCCACGAGAATGCCCCCGTGGTCACCCCAGGTGTAATAGTGGGGACCAGACAGTGCCTGGAAGAGAAACAGTGCTGAGGGGTGCATCGGAGCTGTGCCAAATTAAGGGAAAAGCTTGGCTGGAAAGCATGCTTCGTCAGAAACCTTGCCTGACCCGTACTAATGTTTCAGGTCGCCTGGGCTGAGGCAAGTGTCTGGCGGTGCCAGAGATTCAAGTGTTTATGGGCCAACATCTGCTGTCAAGAGCAGCCAGCTCCATTTCCCTAAATGTATAGCTGTCTAAGAGCAGCACTGTGTTTCGAACTCTCCTCCTCCCGTGTTGTGCATTGGGAAAGAACTAATGGACAAAGTGCCAGCACATGGGGCCAGAGTTGATCGCTCCCCCTCTCCGCCTGCATCTCTTTGTCATGTCTGCGAGGCCTTCCGAGGTTGGATTTCAAGCTGTAAGGTTTTTGGAATGCTCAAAGAGAAATGGGGCCATGGCGTGTAAAAATCCACCCCGTAGAAATAAACTTGTATTTCACGCTCACCTCCAGCTCTAGTGACTGCCAACACAAAATCACCTTTGCTTTCCTACCCGGGGAGCCCAGTGGAGCCCAGGATGAAAACGGAGAGCGTGTAGGTGCCTGACTCCGCTCACAGTACGCGCTAACGCGCTGAGGGATGTCCTCGCGCAGGGCACTGAACACATTATTTCCTTCTCTTCTGCGCTGTGAGACCGCACCAGCGATCCGGAGAGCAACGAGCCTTCCAGCCTGCTGCTTGCCAAAGCCCAGAGCAAGGCGCGGCGCTGTGCTGCTCAGCTGAGGAACTACGCTGCGGGGTCGTTCTGCACCTCTGCTCGCGATACAAAGGGCCCGGATAAGTCAGGAGCTCGGTGTTGTCAACCGCGGGTCGACGCTTCCTCAGTGTGTTTGAATTGTGCTTCCAGGCAAACCTGCCCGAGAGCCAGGGGAGGCTGGCACCCAAAAGCCTCCCTGGCCGTGAGCGCTCCTGTTTTGCCGCAAGGCTCCAGCAGGGAGAAACGGAGGGTCCCCCGGGCCACTCCCCAGCTGCATTTTGGAGGTAACCACTCTCATCCAGGGCAGCCTCTGCACCACAGTTGGCTCTGGAGCAGCCAGACCTGCGGCGTGTCCCCACTGCCGCTGCCCAGACCTTAACCCAGACCGCATGGCACTTACGGGAGGAAAAGGAGGCCGTTTAATTCATGGGATTAAATAGCTTGCAGATGTTGGAAAACCATATTACACTCGCAGTGGAATGCACAGGCAGACCACAAATACTGCTGCAGACCAGAACACCCACTTAGTAAACAGCATCAAACTCCCCGTAAACCGAGGGTAACATCTCATTTTTCTGGAAGATGCCGGAGCCTCCCCAGACGCTCTCACATACAAAGTCCTGGCTGTCAGTCCTATCTAAAGGGGCCAGATGGCCCATGCCAGGGGCAAGTCCTGCCAGCTGAAGAAAAGAAATAGAGGCAGGAGGTCTCCTGCATTTGAACCCACCGCCTTCACCATGAGGCTCACCTCCATGCCAATCCACGCTGGGTCCTTCATCTAAAGACATTCAGCATCTTCCAGCTACAGCTCCTGCACGCGTACACGCAGGTCACCTTCGACACCCGAAGGCTGCACGTCACTTATCTACATTGCTGCCACTATTCTACCTGCTGCACCACTGCCTTGCCTGAGCTGGTAAGAAAAAGAGCAGCCTTACCTCTCTCCACCTTGCTCCAGCACTGCTCGAGACATAGACATTGGTTTTCCTTGCCATGTTCTTGCCAACGGAGCCTAGGAGAAGAGGAAAAATCATTCTATTCGAGGAATGCAAAGCAATTACTTAAAACGAAGTCTGACACCTCTAAACTATTTTTATCTGCGAGCAAAATGACAACGATTGAGAAGCTGACTCCTTGCACTATAAACTAATCTCTTCAAAACCAAACATCTTAAAGACTGTTACAAGCAGCTGGGGAAAAAGCTATGGTTAGAAACACGATCAAACAAAACGTGTAAATGTTTTCTTCAGTGAAAGAGCGAGACAAACAGGAAGTTCTGTGTGTTCAAGGAACCTTTCACGTGGGTAGCAGCAGAAAAGCAGATCAGAATAGAGTGGGCAAGTTGTCCCATGTTGCCCCGCTGCAGTGAAATACACCCACTGTAACGACCGTACGGGGACTGCACCGGAGAAGGGACAGCAAGACGCACAGTTTAATCGTCTTTTGGTAACCTGTATATACACCTAGACGCTGCCAAGCTCTTCGTGTCCCGACAACAACACGCCCCGAGCCCCTGCGTGGCTGCGGGAAGGGGATCGGTACCGGTGGCGATGATCAATCCCGGCGCCGACTCCTTGGAGAGAATGGGCATCCTACGCAGCTGGAAGTTAAGCAGCTGGCTCAGGCGCTGGGCCAGGTGGAGAGAGCAGCCCTGAGAGAACTGGGAAAGCAAAACACAGCGGCATTAATGCTTCGTCCCACACTTGCCTATGCCCTCACCGCCGGGTCCAGCCCTCTCCGCTTGGAAAGGCGAGGAGGGACTCCCTCGCGGCAGGACTGCCGTTTCAGCCTCTTTCACCAGGGCTTCTCCCGTGGTCGCCCCCCGCCCCTTCCCGCCCCGTGGTACCTCGCAGTCTATCTGCTCGCCGTAGCGTGTCTGCGCCGGGGGCTGCAGCAGCTCCCAGGTGCCCCCCTTGTCAAAGGTGATGACGGAGCGCATGTTCTCCTCGCTGAAGGAGCCGTTGATCAGGGTGGCGATGTAGACGCCCCGCACACCTTCAACGCGGTGGAAGTCCGCAAAGGGCTCGTTGGCAAAATACCTGCGAGGAGATACAAAGGTTAGATCCACGGATCGCAGCCTCCCTGGCTCTGGAGAGTGGAGTACTGTCAAACCAGGGGATCAGGGCGGTGCTTTGATCAAACACAGCCAAAAACTACAAAGGCTTTGGACAATGTTCTCGTATACCACAGGCCATTAGGTGCATCCCATGTTACCTGACCAAGGTGTCACTTCCAGCTCCTCCTGGGCTGTAGTAGAGCACGTTTTCTAAAGACAGGGAGAACTTCAGGCCTTCTGCCTCCGAGATGTAGAGGTTGGTACGGTTGTTATCGTGGCTGACACACACAAATACCTGGTCCTCTGAGGCATCAGCAACATAATATTCCTTTGGGATGTAAATGACACATGAGCAGGCTTCAGACGTGGGTACACAAGCAGGGTTTAAGTACAGGCTGGTTTAGCATTTCCTTTTAGCTAGCTGAAAGTTAACTCTTCCCTCCACCTGTTTGTACTTTTTCCACTTGGCAAGCAGGTATCTTCCTGCTCCTTTTTCTTTTGTGTTTCTCCTCCTATCGCTATCCTTCACCCTCTGCCTCGCACAACCCACTGGCAAAGTCCCCCAAAGCAGCGCTGGGTGCTGAGCCCCATCGGTGCCAGACCTCCCTCTGCCTGGACCCTGCTGAGGCTGGGGGTGACCTGCAGCCACGAGTGTGCCCTGCTGCTCCGCCAAACGCCCAGCGCACTTCTCGGGCTCTCCTCCGTCCCTGCCAGCCTGGGGACACCACAGTGCGTCTGCTTCACGGATCACAGACTCTTTGCAAACCCTGGTTGTCCCCGGGGCTTCCTCTGCCTGCAGAGAAGACGGATGCTCCGGGCCATGCCAAAGCACAGAACACCGAGATGATCAGCCCCTCTCTGGGTATCTGGGCTTTGCCACCAGCTTCCATCACCAGCGCTGGAGGAAGCTGGAGGCTTCCAGACAATACATATTCCTGTGTTTCTCCACAGGCACAAATTGCTAGAATGAAGTACCACCCTGTAAACTGTAAGATCATCCTAACATGAGCTTTTTTCTAATCTAACCACCCTCGAGCAGGGTCATCCGAGGTCCCTTCCCAGCTCCGACTCCCACAGTGCCCAGCGAAACGCAGAAAACTGCTGTTGACATCTGAAGGCGTCCTTGGCGAAGGAAGGAGAGAGGAGGCCTTCTCAGGAACCACAGCTTACCTTAATTGGGTGCTTGGTTACGAACTGTGCCACGCGCATCGGCTTGCGGTTGAAGGACACCCAGAGCTGGACCGAAGGTGGCTGCGAGCTGCCATGCGAACGCTGCGGCAGAGCAGAGGGACACGTTAGCAGTAGCTCTCGCCCCCAAAAGCACCCTCGTCTCCAGCAGTGGCCAAAAGGCAGACTGGGGCAAATCCATGAACCGTGTGGCTGCGACTTCACCTTCGCTGCATGCAGGCAAAGCCTGGCAGCTGCCTGCCCTGGGGCTGGCGGTGGGGAGCAGCGCTCCCTGACCATGCTTTATGTTGCTACAGCCCGTGCCCAGCAAGGTAAGGAGGCTGGGTTTAATTCCTCTTCTTTCTGCAAAGCAGTCTGTCCTTTCCTTCCTATTTTTAACAATTTGGACAAAACGGAAGGCAGCAGCACAAAGCCAAAAAAGCAAAAAGGTGGGGGCAACCTACTTCATATGGGAAGCCAACAGCAAGAACCTAAACCCAGATTTAGGCTCCAAAAATAAGTGGCCTGATTTTCCCAGGCTCGGCATTACTAAGCAACCGTACCTCCCGCAGAAAGGAGCAGAAGTCAGAGCCCTGGGCACCTCTCCCACCCTGCCTGTCCTCTCCCCAGCACCGCTTCTGCCATGGCTGGGGTTTGATGCAAGTGCCCAGTTCCAGATCTGGGGATATAATTTCCAAATCGGGAGTTTGCAGCCAGGCTGGCCTCCCTCCCCGTCTCTGTTTCCCATCAGTCTTTGCCTCGGCATGGAACACAGTGATTTTAATATTGTTTAGTATAACATCAGTCATCAGAGCTGCAGGAGAAAGTGTGATGGTGGCCCCTGTGACCCCTGAGCCCTCCAGAAGCAGAAACAATTCCGAAGAAGCCCCAAATTGAGTTCACGCTTGGAAAGGTCCCGACTCAAACCCGCCTCATGCTTTCCAGATGCTGCCCCCCAAGCCTGGTGGCTTCTCCACAGAGGCACAGACCATCCTCCGTGTTTCACCCAGCACCACCAGCAAGCCTAGATAAAATCTTCTGCAAACCACAGCAGGCTTCAGATGAGGCATAGTGCCAAGGGGATGGGCCCTAAGAGTTGCAGGCTGTACTACCTGCAAGAGAGACTCCAGAGAAACTGAAAGTGCTCTGCAAACACGTCTCCTACAGCATCAGACACCACTGTGGCCGCTCAGGTGGCCAGAGGGGACACACGCGCTGCTCACTGCCTAGGAAACCCTATGTGGTTTTGCAAGGAGTCACCCCTAAATGGCAAAGGTTGCTCATTAAAACAGACTCGGTGGCTGCAGCAGAGGAGGAAAGCAACACTAGCATCTTCTGAAAGGAAAACTGCTCCTTAAATTCTAGAAGGAATAGGACTCTACCCCTCCGGTGTCGTGTCTCTGATCATCTAGAAAGGACTCGCTCTCAAAGAAAGCACAGATGCTTTCTAGCATTCTTTCAGGTTTGTCTGAAAACAACCAACAGCTGCAAAAAAGCACAGAAGGACCCTGGCTTTCGCTTACCTGCATCCTCTTTTCCTAGGAAAACAAACCAAAAATCCAGCTTTCTTTCCAGGCTGGAGCCCGTTAGGCTACTTGGACCCAGTCCACGTTTGACGGTAATCCTCTCTGACAAGCTGCCTCCTAACCCCCGAGCTGCTGAGCCACATCCCCCCTTCCCCTGCC